TAATATCATACTTGCATATTGATGGCTATGGGTAAAGTGTATTTATTTCTGATTTTATCTCCCACATCTGTTCTTAGTTCTCTTCTACCACCATTTGAATTTGCGTGACCCTGAGTGTTGCGATAAAATCTGTGGTCGTTCGAAAGTTACAGCTGAGATTTCGAAAGCAGCATGGGAATTCATTCTTTTTAATAAATGATTCCTATTCCACGAGTGTTTATCAAGTTGAGCAAACGTATTCTGAATTGTTCATCTCTTTTCATTTAGTGCACAGCAAATAAGCAAATTAATAAAAATATTATAACTTAAATAAATTGATAAATTGTTTGGCTATAAACTACTCATACGTTATCCACAATACTGAAAGAACTGAAAACATAGTCCAAGAAATATAAAAGTTGATCTTCGAAAGTTGACCTTGAGGTACGCGGCTCGTTGAATAAGCGTGTTGTACGGTCACCATACCCAAACCGGTTGAACCATCCAAAAGGTTTTGGCATATAATTGAAGCCTAGAGGCAGCTTAATCCAGAGGCACATAAATCCGATGACCCAGTTGATGTCTTGTGGAAGTTCTTCGATGTGATATCGCATATTCAACGGAATTTCTCCATCAAAACATAAACCGAGAGGGATAAAACCGATCATATCAGAGCAAGACGATGGTTGTATTTGATCGCAGCAGAGAACGGTTGCACAAAACCAATCTGGAGGATAGTCTAGGCTGATTAGTCGGTTTTTCCTCACGTCTTCGTTTGGGAAATGATGGCTCAGTTTAAAGTGAGTCTGAGGCCACGTGATATGAAGCCGTTATGGAACGCCCAACAAAAGAGAGCACATATTGATTTTACCAACAAATTCAAATCGCGTCGCCTGTCTATTTGGCAATGGGTTTATCTTGCTGAGGCCCGAGTCATTCAGCATGCGATGATAGTTAATCAACTAAGCTATTTTTATGATGAGTTTTGTTTTACCTGTCAAAAGAAGTTGATACTCATCCCGCCTGATGAGTTAAAACATAAGTGAATAACGAGTGCCTTGTTAGTGGTTTCTAACGCACACTAATTTGGATATCACAAAATATTTTGCACTGATAAGGGAGGTTTTCCTTAACTGTTATTCTGCAAATGCATTTGCGGAAGTCAAATTTTTCGCAGATGAAGGTTGATGTATCTTCTCGCTTGAGGTTTGCAGTAGAAACCCGTTAGACTTAATTAAATATTATTTTTCACGTTTATACAGTCTCCGGAGGGGTTAAGTTCAATGTCAAATTCGTTCAATCACCGCGCGGCAGCTGGGATTTTAGTTTATTCGAAAACGTTTCCCTGTATCAGAAATAGGGATAAGTTAGCTACCTCGACATTGGTCGTCAGTGGTTAGGGTGTGTGGTGTATTAGAGGAAACTTGCATATTCTGTCTGGCAGTCAACTTCGTGGACTTCATGCTAAAGCGACTACCTCCAGTGCTCAAAAATGAAGAAGGGCAAATGGAACATGGACGAGATGAAAGTACAATTAACGTTAGAGAAGAGTCAAGAATTTTCGGTGGAAAATCTCACAATCAGATAGAAACGTGGGTTGGCCCATTGCTGAAATTCGATAATAACGGCTGGCTTCCACCACAACTAATAGTTTGTTTTGAACTGGTGAAATTTGAAGGCTTTAAAGGGAAAGAAAAGGCTCGATGGCGA